AAAAGAACGTCTTTAAAAATAGACACTTTTCTGTCTCTGCCAGGGTGTAAAGCTTTAACAGTTTTATTCATCCTCTGACTTCTGCAGTTGTGATTGTGAACTTTGCTGCTTTTGTAAACTCAGCAAACATGCCTTCTCTTGGGGAGCAGGCAGTCCTCAATTAATGGCCTTCTCTCAAGAATCTTCAAGTCATTTGGTCTTGCAAAGCGAGGAGCAGCCTAAGTTGTACAGTGAACATGGAGCTGTGAGGATGATCACTCAGAAGTAAGTTCCACTGGACCACATCCAATTAAATAGGTGGAGCTGTAAGAGTCATCACAATAAGATCCAGTAGGGCAGGCACGTCTAACTCTCTAGAGACTGTGATTTACTCCCAGTATAATAAAACTGGCAGTGATCCACCCATCGTCATTGCCAAGAGTTGTTGAGCTTTTTTCAGTCCCATGATCGACCTGGAGCACCCCGGCGATCTACCTGTCAATCACGGTTGACCAGTTGAACATGTCTGCAGTAGGGGATAGGAAAGGTGAAAGTTATCTTCCCCACCTGCTGTTGTCCCCAAACTGCCCAGTCTCTCCTCCACCCCACTGCACTGTTAATCACATTGCAAAAAAAGAAAAAAGAAAAAAAGGGGGAGCATTTTAATTGTATTCATTTGGCAGTTAAACCTCCATCCCTGTATCAGTTAAACTTGCATCCTTTCCTGCATGAGTCAAACCTTTGATAAGGCCTAAGGGAGGGGGGCAAAAATCAGGGCTCTATCTGTCTTGACAGCCACCAGTTGCCCACCCTCTATTTAAGTGACCAATGGCTGTAATTATAGAGAAACAAAGGCTACCTCCCAGCTGAAGGCTTTGCAATGTGTAGCAGTTCCTTCGATCCACTTATTTTGACTTCTCTAATGGCCTTAACAGCTTCATAATTTCGTGCCGCAAAACAACCCAATTAAGGGCCGTCCCATAAGGCATCTATTGTTTTCAGCTCACCATATTTCCGTACGGAGATGCAATCTGAGATGTGCGCGGGCCGGAAAAATGTATCGGAGAGAAATGCCAGTTTTTGTAGGAGTAGTAACGCTGCCCACAGTCGGTTGCTTTTCTCACATTTTATATCACATCGCAGTAAAGGTTAATGATAATGAAATGGGGCCAGACAAGCAACGTACGATAATGAATATGCTCACATAGAAAAACAAAAATTGCTAATGAGAAAACAAATGCTAGGAGGAAGATAATATAATGGGTCCTCATGGGTTACAGTACCTATAAGAGGAGTTCTGCCGAAAGACTGCAGGAGGCATAATCTTCTTCATTTGGGGTTTTTAAGCAGAGGCTGGATTTGAATTTGAATTTGAATTTCCTGCATTGGGTTGGATTAGATGACCCTTGGGTGCCTTCCAACTCTACAAGTCTAAAAGGATACCAGCATGGTTAAATCATAGAGTCAAGTGGCAATGAAAAAAAAAAATCAAATAAAGAGGACCAGTTCTATCAGGACCAACATAGCAACAAGAAGGATTCTGAGGGACACATCTGCTGAAAACATAAAAGCCCTAATAAAAATATCAGAAGCAGGAAACTAGCCAGCGAGAGAGGTTGAGTGCTGGGTAGATTGTGAAGGTGATGAAAGACGACTGGGAAGAAAGAGGGAAATTGCAAAGAGGCTAAAGGAATTTAAGGCATACGGCAGGGAAGATGGCTGGATCTGAATCTCGGTTTTGTGAAGAAGAATTACATCAAACAGAGAAGTGAAGGCTATATACAGAAACTGAAAACTGATAGAAGAAGAGAAGAGTTTGGATTTGATATCCCGCTTTATCACTACCCAAAGGAGTCTCAAAGCAGCTAACATTCTCCTTTCCCTTCCTCCCCCACAACAAACACTCTGTGAGGTGAGTGGGGCTGAGAGACTTCAAAGAAGTGTGACTGGCCCAACGTCACCCAGCAGCTGCATGTGGAGGAGCAGAGATGCGAACCCGGTTCACCAGATTACGATAAGACAAACTTTACAAAAACTGAGCATCTAGATCCACACAGGCAGCTTTGAATGAATGTAAGAACCAATGCAATGTGCATAAGGAAAGCTTTGCAAGAACTGAGGTGCTGAAACACCATATAACGTCTTGCAAGGCTGGTAGTTCCACTGAAGCTGCCTCTCTCTCCTGTCCTTTCTGTCTGGTGTGAGACCTTTTAGGTTAGCATATTTCTCCACTCCTGTCCTCCTCTCATTTGCTTAATGTAATGGCATCTAGCTTCTCCCTTTCTTCTTCCTCCTTCCAATTTCCCTTCCAACAGACCTCAGGACCCCAAGAAACATTGGGGCCAGAGGAGGAAGCCAGTGAATGGGAGACTTCAGAACCTGATCCAAGGGAGAAGCTGAGTGGGTTGACAAGGGGAACTCCTTGCCCAGTCCAGTGACCTGTCCCACTCTTCCAAAGTAAGAGGCAGGTGCACGGTCCTTGCTAGATCAACATCTTATCTGGCCTAATCCTTCCCAGTCCACCTGCCGCTCCTTTTCACCCTTGCCTTGCCAATGCACTGTGCTGACTTGAGCATTAAAGATTTGGGCAGAAAACAACATCCGAGTTCTTTTTTTTATAACAATAATTTTTATTGGTTTTTCCAAATATTTTCCACCATGACATCAATTTTATAAATAAAACAAAGAAACATTTGCTATACAGTGGTACCTCGGGTTACATACGCTTCAGGTTACAGACTCCGCTAACCCAGAAATAGTACCTCAGGTTAAGAACTTTGCTTCAGGATGAGAACAGAAATCGTGCGGTGGCAGCGCGGCGGCAGCGGGAGGCCCCATCAGCTAAAGTGGTGCTTCAGGTTAAGAACAGTTTCAGGTTAAGAATGGACCTCCGGAACTAATTAAGTACTTAACCCGAGTTACCACTGTATAAGCCTGGATCTTCCCTCATCCTCAAATAATGGTTTTCCAACTTAATCTTTAATATGCATTTTATTCTTATCAATATTACTATTAAATCATGATCTTAAATAAACAATTTGTAAATTGCATTTAGTAATAAATGATAATTTAAGACTACAAAACTTCTTGTAACCCTATTAGCGATGTCAGTTGTTTTTCAGGTGCAACATAAATCTATTCCAGTCTTTCAAGAAATTCTGGTCCTGCTGGTTCTGAATTTTCCCAATTTCGCCAATTTGACATAGTCCATTAATTTCATCTGCCACTCTTTCGATGGTATCTCTTCTTGCTTCTATCACTGGGCTAGTAATATTCTCGCTGCAGTTGTAGCATATAAAAATAATCCTGCCTGTGTATTTCTCTACCCACATTTCCTAATAGGAAGGCTCCTGGTTTGTTTTTTTACAAATGTATATTTCAACATTTTTTAAAGTTCATTATATATAATTTCCCAGCAGGCCTTCACTTCCCTACATACCCACCACATATGATAAAAGGTACCATCTTTTTCTTTACATTTCCAACATTGATTACTTGATCTGTACATTTTTGCTACTTTCACTGGCGTTATATACCACCTGTACATCATTTTCATTACATTTTCTTTAAGCAAACTGCATGCTGTAAAGTTTATTCCATCCTTCCATAATTTTCCCCTGTCTTCTAACATCCGATTACAGGTAGGTAGCCGTGTTGGTCTGCCATAGACAAAAAATAATAATAATAATAAAAATCCTTCCAGTAGCACCTTAGAGACCAACTAAGTTTGTTATTGGTATGAGCTTTCGTATGTATTTGAGTGTATCTGAAGAAGTGTGCATGCACACAAAAGCTCATACCAATAACAAACTTAGATCAACATCTTATCTGGCCCCATTAGTGGGAGGCCCCATTAGCTAAAGTGGTACCTCAGGTTAAGAACAGTTTCAGGTTAAGAACGGACCTCCAGAACGAATTAAGTTCTTAACCCAAGGTACCACTGTACTGGTACCTTATTTTCTACTGAAAAGAAGAGAGAGCATATTAGATCATGGGTAGGCAAACTAAGGCCCGGGAGCCAGAGCCGGCCCAAATGCCTTCTCAATCTGGCCCGTGGACGATCTGGGAATCAGTGTGTTTTTACATGAGTATAATGTGTCCTTTTATTTAAAATGCATCTCTGGGTTATTTGTGGGGCATAGGAATTTGTTTCCCCCAAAATATAGTCCAGCCCCCCACAAGGTCTGAGGGACAGTGGACCGGCCCCCTGCTGAAAAGGTTTGCTGACCCCTGCTATAGTTCGTTCAGCTTATCGGTAAATCCGGCACTGCTCACCACACCAGCCTCTACTGCCCTCCAGAAGTTTTGCATTTCAGTTTTCATCCTCATCCTCTCCTGGAGCAGCTTACACATAACAAACAACAACAATAAAAAACCCTCTCCCTGCCTTCCGGCTTACAATATAAAAAGACCTGACACCAAAGGAAAATGGATCAGGAGGGAGGAGGAAATAAACACACTCAGGTTCAAATTCTTAGATACACATGGTTCCAATGATCATCTGGAGTGGAAAAGTTTAAGGAGAGGAGGTACCAAAAGCTGCTGGTCTCTAAGCTAGGCAAATATGTAGACGGGCCCTGAATCCCTTTCTTTCGTCTGCTGTACCTGGCTACTTCTGATAACTGACAGCTGATGGCTTCTTAGCAGACCTGGTGATGGCCTTGCCTCACCCCTCTTCCCTCCTTTATGACAGCCTAATATAGCAGCTGTTGCCAGGTGACACAGTGTATGGTTAAATAAATAGCGTTCCTCGCTCGCTTTCATCTCTTACATAGACAGGAAGTGGTCTCATAGAATCAGCACTGCCGTCACTAACTGGCAGATGCTCTCTGGGGTTGCAGGCAAGGGTTATTCCGACCCAGCCCTACCTGGAGATGTCAGGAATTGAAACTGTGACCTTCTGCATGCGCATCAGGTGCCCTATCACAGAGTGACAACATTTAAGTAATGTAGCACTTAAAAAAAACCAGTTAACTGTACTGTGCCTTGGAAGGGCTTGTTCTGAAAGGGGGCCTATAAATAATGTAGGTAATAAACAAAGAACTGTGCTTAATATGAAGCATCTTAATAATTTTGCTTTAATGTGCCTTTTTCAGAAGTGGTCCAAATTTAGTCCTCTCTCTCTCTTTAGAACACACCCAATATAGTTGTATGGGCTTCTCTTTCGAGATGGTTTAGAGAGGATGAAAACCTTGGGGTTGCAGGGGTAGAGAGGGACGCATCTGTTCTTTGGGTTTCTCAAACGTTGGCTAGCAAATGCAAGATAAGCAGGAAGTCTGCGGTGAGAGGCTGTGGCTGCAAGTTTTGCGCAAGCGTTCCTGGTCAGGGCGTAGGGGGCAGACAGTTCCTTGTTTGCCGGTGGCTGCAGAAGCCCCAGAGCAGCAGCGCTGTCAAAAAGAGAGTCCTCCTGGGATGGAGCGAATGCAGAGGAAGGATTTTTCTGACTCTTTTGTTCCGAGAAAATGAAAAGCCCAGACAATGGATGTTAGGTGAATGGTCAAATCAAGTCGTATTTTTAGAACCTGCTCATCTATGCTCCGTTCTGGTGTCTTCTGGTGTCCTAACGAAGGACAAAGCAATGTGTTAATGGGGATACATGAATCGTCCTTGTTCTCAGTCAACAAAAGCCAGCTTAAATACTACTGCTTTGTTGTTGTTGTTGTTTAGTTGTTTAGTTGTGGCCGACTCTTCGTGACCCCCATGGACCAGAGCACGCCAGGCACTTCTGTCTTCCACTGCCTCCCGCAGTTTGGTCAAACTCATTCTGGTAGCTTCGAGAACACTGTCCAACCACCACGTCCTCTGTTGTCCCCTTCTCCTTGTGCCCTCCATCTTTCCCAGCATCAGGGTCTTTTCCAGAGAGTCTTCTCTTCTCATGAGGTGGCCAGAGTATTGGAGCCTCAGCATCACGATCTGTCCTTCCAGTGAGCTCTCAGGGCTGATTTCCTTAAGAATGGAGAGGTTTGATCTTCTTGCAGTCCGTGGGACTCTCAAGAGTCTTCTCCAGCACCATAATTCAAAAGCATCAATTATTTGGCGATCAGCTTTCTTTATGGTCCAGCTTTCACTTCCATACATCACTACTGGGAAAACCATAGCTTTTACTATACGGACCTTAATACTACTACTACTACTACCTTTAAATGCTTCTAGTAGGTGTATTTCTATGGTTTGAGGAACCTCAGGCATGGGGACCTAATGTGGCTCTCCAGACCCTTCTACCTGGCCTTCTAAGCTCCCTGTAGGCCACGCCCCCTCTCATTAGGCCACACCCCCACGGGCTTTTTGGTTCAGATAAAAGGCAACTTAAGAAGTGACATCATAGAAGTTTGGATGGCATAGAGAAAGTGGATGGAGAAAAGTTGCTCTTCTTCATGAACGCTGGGACTGGTGGGCACCCAGGGAAGCTGAATGTTAGAGGATTCGGGGCAGATAAAGTAGCTCTTCTTGCAGCAGTTAAACAGCGATGGGCACCAACCTGGACAGCTTCAAAAGAGGATTGGACAAATCGATGGAGAAGAGAGCTATTCATGGCTGCTGACCAAAATGGCTATGGAGGCAGTAATGATTCTGAAAACTAGTTACTGAAAACTAGTTACTGCAGGAGGAGAGATGGCTCTTGCTCTCAGATCCTGCCCACAGGCAACTGGTTGGCCACCATGAGAACAGGATGGGCCACTGGTATGATCCAGCTGAATTTTTGTTGCTCTTGTGAAACGGATGCTGTTGGAGAGACCTGCCCTGCTAACTTGTTTCTCCATGCTCATTTGGGAAAGGGCCATTGTTCAGTGTTGGAGCAACTACTTTGCATGCAGAAGGTCCAAGTTTCAACAACAACAACAACAACAACAACAACAACAACAACAACAACAGGTGGATTGCCCCAGCCACTTTGAGTGGCTCTCTTTGACATCTGATGGAAGGCATCTGCCTGGGTCCCTGTAACTTCACTTTTCACAATTAGGGAACCACCAGAAGGCCCTCGGAGCTAGACCTCAGTGGATGATACAGGTGGAGACAGTTCTTCAGGTGCATAGGGCCGAGGCCATTTAGGGCTTTAAAGGTCAGCACCAACACTCTGAATTGAGCTCAGAAATGTACTGGGAGCCAGTGTAGATCCTGGCAGCCGCTCCCAGTCACCAGTCTAGCTGCTGCATTCTGGATTAGTTGTATTTTCCGAGTCACCTTCAAAGGTAGCCCCATTCTGTGATTCCATCACTTGTGGGATGCATGAAACAATATGAACCTCCAGCTTCAACTCTTTCAACATGGCACCACCCCAGAAATTTCCTATTCCTGAATCAGCCTGAAAATGCATTGCATTTCGGCTTGACCTGTCAGCGGATGGCTTGTATGCATTTTCTGTTATGAAGTTGACACACACACACACACACACACACACACACACTGATGAAAGGCTGAAGCTGCAAATGGTGCAGGGGTGATTAGTGGCATACATTCAGCCAAGCCTCCTACAGATTACTTGTATTAAAGCCTAATCCTCCACATTCAAAGCCCCCCAAATCTCTTCATTTTTTTATGGAGCGATTATCACAGACTCTGGGATAATTGTGCAAAAATTAATCTATGGGGGATGAGATCAATTTGGGGAGGAGGAGTGGAGCAGCAGCAAGGGATTTGGAAATCTTGGCCAAGCCAGCTCTTTCAAAGCCATGTTGTTCAGGTGCCTGCCTAGTTTTCCTTCCTTCCTGCCATGCCTCTGCTCTGCACTATCTGGGTCTGGGGCTGCCATGGGAAGCTGACCGGCGAACACAGAACTTTGTACAGAAGGGATTTTTGTATCTGATGTACATGTGCCAGTCAACAGCTGCACATGCTAACACAACCATGGCAAATAGCAGTGGAGTGCAGATATAAACAGCCCGTAAGACTGCAATGACAAACCTAGACAGCATCTTAAAAAGCAGAGACATCACCTTGCCAACAAAGCAAAAGCTATGGTTTTCCCAGTAGTGATGTATGGAAGTGAGAGCTGGACCATCAAGAAGGCTGATCGCCGAAGAATTGATGCTTTTGAATTATGGTGCTGGAGGAGACTCTTGAGACTCCCATGGACTGCAAGAACATCAAACCTACCGGTATCCATTCTGAAGGAAATCAGCCCTGAGTGCTCACTGCAAGGACAGAACCTGAAGCTGAGGCTCCAATACTTTGGCCACCTCATGAGAAGAGAAGACTCCCTGGAAAAGACCCTGATGTTGGGAAGGATTGAGGGCCCAAGGAGAAGGGGACGACAGAGGACGAGATGGTTGGACAGTGTTCTCGAAGCTACCAGCATGAATTTAACCAAACTGCAGGAGGCAGTGGAAGACAGGAGTGCCTGGCTTGCTCTGGTCCATGGGGTCATGAAGAGTTGGACACGATTAAACAACTAAACAACAACAACAAGATTGCTCGTTGAAAGAATAAAGAAATTTAAGGTTTCTTGCTCGTGGCAAGCAGAGCCATTCTGGATACCAGCATGTATGTGGTCAACATGGAGTCAAGAAGTTAACACTGACACCAACAAACCTGGAGAAGAAGCAGGGAGGAAGTAAAGTCTGAAGAGAAATAATCCTACAGGAAGTTACTCAAAGAAGAATCAGTGAGGGATGAATTTGTTGCCATATGTCTGGAATTTCCTGGCCATAGCCGGGATTTGGCTGTCTCAAACAGTGTCCAGGCCCATGTCGGAAGCCTAGATTTTGGTGAATTTCCTTAAAAATACCTCAACAACTTTGCCCCCAAAAGCCCAACAACTTTTGTGTCCAGATTATTTTCACTTTTTGAAATATTGCAACCCTCGGAATAGGTTGCCTTCCTATTACCCAGCTCCTGAACATAAGACAAGTCGTGCTGGATCAGGGCTTGTCTATTCCAGCATCCTGTTGTCACTGTGGCCAATCAGAGGCCTATGGGAAACCCACAAACAGGATTCAACCACAAGAGCACCCTCTCCTCTTGCGGTTTCCAGCAACTGTTTTTCAGAGGCATCGCTGCCTCCAGGTGTGGCATAGCCATCTTGGCTAGCAGTCGTGGATAGCTCTCTCCTCCATGAATTTGCCCTAGCCTCTTTTAAAGCCATCTCGGTTGGTGGTCATCACTGCCACTGTGAGAGCGAATTCCATAGCCAGTCCACATCGCTCCTTTGGGCAGAGGTGAGGAACCTCTCTCATGTCAGTGTCGAGCAGGGCTAGAGGCAAAATTGGGTGAAGCAACAAGTGCAAATGTCACTTTTGCACAAGAGACTAGTTCAGGGGTCAGCAAACCTTTTCAGCAGGGGCCGGTCCACTGTCCTGCAGACCTTGTTGGGGGGCCGGACTATATTTTGAAAAAACAAACAAACAAAAACTAATTCCTATGCCCCACAAATAACATTTTAAATAAAAGGACACATTCTACTCATGTAAAAACATGCTGATTCCCAGACCAGATTGAGAAGGCGATTGGGCCAGATCTGGCCCCCAGGCCTTAGTTTGCCTACCCATGGGCTAGTTATTAGCAAATAACAACAACAACAAATTTATATGTCGCCAATCAGACTGGGTTGCCCCATCCACTCTGGATGGATTCCAGCAAATTAAAACATTGAGCACAGTAAAACATCAAACCTTAAAAAGCTTCCCTGTACAAGGCTGCCTTCAGATGTCTTCTAAAGGGAAAGTGTTCTACAGGGAGGGTGCCATTACCGAGAAGGCCCTGTGCCTAGTTTCCTGTAACTGGACCTCAGTGTCTGGCCTGAACGATAGGGGTGGAGACACTCCCTTCAGGTATGCTGGGCAAAGGGCTTTAAAGGTCAGCACTAACACTCTGAATTGTGCTCAGAAACATACACACATGCAGCCCCCCCCCCGGGAAGAATTCCAGGACACGTTCCAGTCAGGCAAAAACACTAAAGAGGGGATCAGAGCATGGTCAGTAAAGGCTGTGAGTAGGGACAGGGCATGGTTTGGGGACAGAAAGGCTTGTATATGTGTGTGCATACCCTCCAACATTTCCCTGATGAAAATAGGGACATCCTGTTTCATAACAATAATTTTACTATTTGTAGCCAGCCCACCTGACTGGGTTGTCCCAGCCATTCTGGGTGGCTTCCAACATATATAAAAACATAATAAAACATTGAACATTAAAAAACTTCCCTAGACGGGGCTGCCTTCAGATGGCTCGGGGGTTGGATAACTCCTGTAATAAAAAATTTAAGGTCTTATATATATATAATAAATGTTCATAAATGTACCAACCAAGCATGTACATAGATATGTGGACCACATGTCTGGAGCAGCACAGGAAGACTGCCCTGAAACCATTTTGACTCCCAAACTTACCAAATGTTTTCTCTGCAAGGAGGGAGAGGGTGAGGGAACCTTCCCATTAGTCTCAGGAATTGGGAAATCACCATCTCAAAGGAATGGGCAGACTACCAGGAAAGGCAATCAGATAAAGCATTATCAGATAACCTGGCAGACAGGAAAAACAACAAGATTCAGATTTCTGTTGTAGACCACCTTTTCTGTGAAGTAGTTATGATGTTTGTGGGGAGTGGTCTTGGGTTACACCCCTTCTGTGATGTATGTATGATGCATGGAGGGGTGGTCTTGAGCACCAGGGCAGGGAATTTAAAATGTCTATATAAGGGCAGGCACACCTTGGTTCTGGGTCTCCCTCCTTTCCTGCGTTTGAGGGGAGCACCCTGTTGCAACAGTTCAATAAAGATCAGGCTTACTAGCTGCTTTGCTTCTCAATATTCTCCGGTTGGCCTTTGTTATTTTCTCCTACCGATGGAGAACCTACAAAGGACTCTATAAGGGCTCTTGTGTCACCCATGAAGGAATAAGGGCAGATTTTGTTTATTACACTCCATACCTTCCAACATTTCTCCAATGAAATAGGTCCATATAGTGAAAGCTATGGTTTTCCCAGTAGTGATGTATAGAAGTGAGACCTGGACCATAAAGAAGGCTGATCGCCGAAGAATTGATGCTTTTGAATTATGGTGCTGGAGGAGACTCTTGAGAGTCCCATGGACTGCAAGAAGATCAAACCTCTCCATTCTTAAGGAAATCAGCCCTGAGTGCTCACTGGAAGGACAGATCCTGAAGCTGAGGCTCCAATACTTTGGCCACCTCATGAGAAGAGAAGACTCCCTGGAAAAGACCCTGATGTTGGGAAGGATTGAGGGCACAAGGAGAAGGGGACGACAGAGGATAAGATGGTTGGACAGTGTTCTCGAAGCTACCAGAATGAGTTTGACCAAACTGCGGGAGGCAGTGGAAGACAGGAGTGCCTGGCGTGCTCTGGTCCATGGGGTCATGAAGAGTCGGACATACTAAACAACTAAACAACAACAACAGCAAGGGAAAGTGGGACATTCCAGGATCAAATCAGAAACTGGGATGGCTTCTGTAAATCTGAGACACGTGTATGTGTGTGTGTGTGTGTGTGTGTGTGTGAGAGAGAGAGAGAGAGAGAGAGAGAGAGAGAGAACCAGCTCTGGGTTACTTTTGCCTGAAGGGGAGGGAAATAGACTCGCTCCCTCACTGAGAGGCATTTACTTCTACAATGTGTGGCAGAGGATCTGTGCTGCTACAGGGGACAAAGGCAGTGTCTTCTGCTGGCTAAGTTTCAGTCAATTTCATTCACCAAGCCTCTAATTGGGCTAGGAGCGCTTTGACCTCCATCCACTCTGCCAATAAAATCACTGTCCTTCATAGCAGGGGACAGATACTCTAGGAAGGCAGTGGATTATCCCTGTGGTGGCGGCATTAAGCAGCAGTGCCTCCTTCACAAGTACAAATTGCTTCCTCCCCTTCACATCCAGATAATTACAAGCAGGGCCAAAACATGGAAACTTTCAATGGCTTGAAGACTTAAGAAGTCAGGCCCGAACCGGCTAATTTCGAGGGGTTGTGGGGGAGGAGGGGGTGACGTTTAAAAGGACACAGAAGCTGTAACAAAAGAGCTAAGGCAGCCCTTTTGGAAAGAGAGGAGCCGGGCTAAAATGCAGGATTTAATAATGCATTTTTAAAAGCTCCTTCTGCGTTTTCTTTCTTTCTCTCCCCCCTCCTTCCTCACACACAAAAGAGCTACATAAGAGGTGAGGTAGGAAGGTGGGGGGACTATGGAGAGAGAGAGAGAGATGTTCAAATGAAAAGCTCAGGGGATTTGGGTTGTCAATCACACCCTGCCCGGGGGCAGCAGCATTTAGAAGTTAAGATTGCTTTACTAAAGGCCCATTATCGCTTTCATACAGTGGGTATTTACAAGAGGATAAATATTCTGGTATATATTATAAATGGAAGGTGGCAGGTCTTGGGGCTGGCGGCTTGCTGGTGGAGTGGGGGGGGGGGGACAGAAGCCATGAGCAAGGCCTCTGTCAGTCGGAAGACAGCTCAGGCAGACCACGGTTGCTTAGCAACAAGTCAGCTGGAGAATTCTTTCTTCCTCTCTTTCCCCTTTCTGTTTATTTCACATGGCTGGAACCTGCGATCAATGCCTTCCCCCCACCCATCCAATCCTCACGCAAAACGCGACCTGTGCTCTGACAAAAAAATGGGAAGCTCAGTAACTGCATCCCTTCCAACATTTCTCTGATGAAAATAGGAATGTCCTATAATGATGGTGATGATGATACACACCCACACCCGCCCCCGCCCCGTATTTTTATGTGTATAAGGCAAAGTTTTTTGCTATAAAAAATTAGTAAAAAAATTGGGCGTCGTCTTGTACATGGAACATGGGCATCTGGGGGAATTTTAAAAAATATTTATTTATTTAGGATTTCTTTTTAAAAAAATTATTAACGTTCTTATGTCACATATGTATACATTATCATATTACTTTACAGGGCATATTATAATATAATTTCCAACATGTATACAAAGTTTATATACCAAATTTATGTACCTAAAGAAAGAAAAAAGAAAAGAAAAGAAAAGAAAAAACAAAGACATATTTTAAAAAAAATATTTAATCATATGTCCGGGATTTTGGCTTGGGCGGGCTGAGGCGGTCCGTCCTGCTGCCGTGTCCCCTTTCTCCTCCTCCTCTGGGCTGTGTGCTGGCCACTGGCTCGCTTCCTGAAGCCCCCGCTGGCTTGACCACCGGTTCGAGAGCAGCTGCCGCCGCTGATACCTGCCTCAGCTACCTCTCCTTGCCCTTCTTTCCTTCTTTTCCTCTTCCCCTCTCAAACTCCCACCCTGCCCCCAGCCCGCTCACCACCTTCCTCAGCTGAGTTTGCTCGACGGCATGGCCTGATGCAGAGCGGTCGCTGCCTTCCCCCAGCTCCTCCTTGGCCTCCTGCTTGGGAGCCTGCTTCCCCACTGAGGGGGAGCGTGTGGTGCCCCCCCCAAGTCGCTGCCTTTGCTTTTGCACCACAGTGCACTGCATGCAACTCCTGCTGGAAACTTTGAGGGTGATCACCCCCCAAAAAGATCAACAACTTGCCACCGCCAATCATCCAGATTTTCACTTCACTTCACTTTTATTTTATATTATTTTATTATTTTATTTTATTTGAGGGTTTCATTTTCTTAATTTTGGGTTAAAAAAAATAGGGGTGGTCTTATACATGGGGGTATCTTATACATGGAAAAATATGGTATTTACTATTTATACCCCCACCCATCTGATTCCAGCCACTCTGGGTAGCTTCCAACACATATAAAAACATAACAAAACATCAAACATTAAAAAAACACTTCCCTATACAGGGCTGCCTTCAGATGTCTTCTAAAGGTTGTATAGTTACTTATCTCCCTGGCTTAGAGTGGGCGGGTCACATAACTCAATACCCTCCAACATTTCTCCAATGAAAATAGTGACATCCTGAGGAAAAGTGGGGCATTCTGGGATCAAATCAGAAACTGGGATGGCTTCTGCAAATCCGGGACTGTCCCTCGAAAATAGGGGCACTTGGAAGGTCTGGTAACTGTCAGGTTGCTCTTGACCAGGGGTAGGCAACCTAAGGCCCGGGGGTCGGATGTGGCCCAATCACCTTCTCAATCCGGCCCTTGGACGGTCCGGGAAGCAACGTGTTTTTACATGAGTAGAATGTGTCCTTTTATTTAATATGCACCTCTGGGTTATTTGTGGGGCCTGCCTGGTGTTTTTGCATGAGCAGAATGTGTGCTTTTATTTAAAATGCACCTCTGGGTTATTTGTGGGGCACAGGAATTCATTCATTTTTTCCCCTTCAAAATATAGTCCGGCCCACCACATGGTCTGAGGGACGGTGGACCTGAGGGACAGCTGAAAAAGGTTGCTGACCCCTGCTCTTGACTATGACATTGCCACTGGGGTTTCTAAATTGGCAACTATAGTATAGCCCTTCGCTCTTCTCTTGATATTCTCCCGAACCATAGCATTCCCTAAGAGTGCAAAAACTGCCCAAGAGGCTCTTAGGGAAATAGGCTGAGCCAAAGCATCCATCCATATAGCCTAGTACTGTCTGCACTGACTGGCAGGGTGCTCCAGGGTTTTGGATGAAAGGAACAGAGAGCCCTAGTCACAGAGACCAGACCTCCTCAAGACAGAAAACCCATCTTCCTACGTACATCCTGCTTAACCCAGACATGTCGGCCCACAATCAAAGTGGAGTTAATATCACTGCCATAAGAAATTATAGCACTCTGTATATTTTTGCAAATTAGTATTTCAGCCAGGGTTTCTTTCTTTCTCGCCCCGCCCCCTTTTTATTGTACCGGTTAGCGCCACGTTGAGATTAGAGTGTTAATGGCAGCAAGTCAAAGCAAACATTGTCGGTTCAAGGAACTTTGGAACTAAGCCTCCTTATTGTTTCAACTGTCGCTTGTTTTGAGTAATTATTATAAATGTCTTTTATATGTAATCTATTATATGTAGAGGCTGTGCACCAGCAATCCCACACAGAAAGAAATCTACCTTTCGCCCTGATGTCTGGATAATGGCTAAGATTCCTAGGAGAGATTAGAGGTGAAATAGGCTCCTCTTTTATAACAAGTCTGATAAAATTTACAACATTATTAATGTGCTTTTGGTTGGTGTGGAGTAGCATGCATATTTTTAGCCTGTGTAATTTTATTGGATTAGGGGAACACCCAGAGCTGGGCAGAAGAAAACCTTGTAACACCCATTATCACACCACAGATCACTGCCTGAAAACTTTTCCTACTCCCTTTCCCTGTCTGCTGTACATTATATTCATTGAGGACACATCTGCACTATACATTTAAAGCAGTATCATATCACTTTAAACAGCCATGGCTCTCCCAAAGACTGCTGGGAACTGCAGTTTGTTAAGGGTCCTGTGAGTTGCTAGGATACCTCTAGTCCCCTCGAAAACAGCAGTTTCCAGAATGGTTTAACAACCATCCCCTCTTCCCAGGGAACTCTGGGAATTGTAGTTCTGTGGTGGCCAAAAATTTTACCCACTCTTGCTCTTAGTGTCGGTGCTGGACTGGTTTCTGAAGCAGGGAATGTCTGTAAACTGGCCATTATTCCATGTGCCACCTGTGTGC